TCATGAATTTAAATGTTACCATTTTACTCTCTCTTATTAAAAATAAATAACTAAACACAAGATAGTAGTGAACTTATGCAAGTTGTAAATTTCAAGTTCAAATATCTATTACGTGAGAGAATGTATTAAAAAATAATATATAAATTATTTTAAAAGTTTCAATTAATAACTTAATCTTTTGTGTTGAAATAATTCTCTACCAATATATATATTATTCAAATATTCATGAAACTATTCTAACCTTTTGCATTATTAAGCTTGTGATTTTTCCTTCAAGATGTGGATTTATTTTATATGTTGAAACTTCACAAGATGATTTAAGAAAAAATAAAATCATTTATATACTCCTTCGGCCTAAAATATTAGTCTTCTTTGACTTTTTCCACAGTTTAAGAAATATATTAATTGTAATGACACATCATTTTTTTTATCATTATTTTCTTAAAATATCCTTCCATCCTATCAAATTTAAGTTCCAAATTTTTTAAAAAGATAGAAATGTTTTAAGAAAATCAATATTTAAAGTTTTGACCAACCTTGGGACAGATATAAATAGAAAAAAGGACAACGTATTTGAGAGTGAAGGAGTATAAAAAAGAAAAAAAAAGTGAAATTTCATAAAAGAAATAAAATATGAGGAACAAGTGGGTGCCAGCTCCAGCTGGTGTGTAAAGAATACAAAGGTCGACTAAAAGAAGAGGAAAAAAATGAACAAAATTTGAGAAAAAACAAAAGAAGAGAATTAATAAAGGGGAAGGAGATTTTCTTTTCAATAATGCGGTAAAGTAAGGCAAATTGCATATTCCTTAGATCAACATTCCAACTCCTATTTATGACTTTATGTTAATTAGTATTGGGATTTGGGTATTTCTTTCTATTTATGCCCCAAGATTGGATTCCTTAATTCCATTTATGGTCAAAATGTAGACAAATAAACCTCTTAATTGTGAGAACAATTTCTTAAGGTTAAAAGGATGGCTTTTCAATCTTGTTATATCTATAACAGGAGTTGGTTGGTTTCATACTGGATTAATAGTCTCCTTCTCACCCAAACTCCCAAAGTCAAATCCTATTCCCCTTGATTATTTTTTCCCCTTTTTCTAGGCTATCACTTAACTCCATTTCCACTACAGACAGCAGGCTATTTGGATAACAAGAATTAATTTGAAATTTTTTATTAGTTTTAGGAATTCTTTGGTCATAAACTTAATTATAAGTTTTCCTAGAGTTGAATCTACTTTAATATCCATTGCAAATACCAATCGCATTCGAATAGGGTTGGTAAGACTTGATTTAGAACGCTTGTGGACCAACAAACTTGGAGTTCCAAACATTATTGGTGAATATGTTGAAAAAAAATAAATAAAGATTAAAAGGAGCATGACTTGAAGGATTTTTTTTTGCTGCATTGCTTGTCATCAAATTTAAAACATATTAGTTTTTTTACTCGCATTACGTTGTGGATTGAATAAAATATATAAAATCGTTTAAAAAAATCATTTCAGTTTGATAGTTTGTTTTAGGGTGTGAATTTATGAAAATATATGAAATCAAAGATGAAAAAAATTATTTATAATTTTTTAATTAAAAATTTTGTATTTAACTATTTCTTATTTATGTTTTTCATAATTTTTCCTATATAAAAAGGATTTATTTTTGTCAATCCATGGATTATTTACTAAAAAGAAAATTAAATATTTATTTTTTAAAAAAACTTTAGTATTTCATAAGATTGTGTCGAAAAACCAAAATAACGATTATTAAAAACTTACATAGAATTGAACAAATAATTTTTTTTATTTTTATTTAATATTGATGAGAATATCGATTTTTGAAAAAAATTTAAATTTAATTTTTATATATTTATTTACAAAATAATGAATAATATTAAAATAAAAAACTATATTAATTTGAATCATTGATTGGTTAAGCTAAAACATAATTTTAATTATTTAATTTAAATAAATCAATTTTCAAATATTGAAAATAAATAAATAAATAGTAAATGCGTAGTGTAGTACCTGCATAGTTAATTTCTAAAACAATAACGATTCAATATTTTATATTAAGTGAGTTCGAGTTTTTCAGTCTAAAACCAAAAATATTATAAAAAAATTAACTTGCAAGAAATACGTTGACTAAATTTGAAGTTAATAGACTAAAATAAAAATTATTACAAATTTGATTTCAATTAATTTTGATTATATAAAGAAGAAACAAATTAATAAAAATGTGAATTTTTTTTTCCTCAAATAATTTTTTATTTCTATGTTATGCGTGACTAATCCTTGAATACAAGCCTCGGGTCCAAAACAACCATCTTCTTTTTATTTTTCACATTTGACTTTCAACTATTAATTAACTAATTTGAGTTTTTTCTTTAAAAAATCAAGAAAAAAATTATTTAAAATACACTCGTTAATCTAAAATGTATTTCATACAAATTATATATATTAATCATGCCACTATAATTTAAAAGTTATCTAAATCTATTTTTCAAAAGAAAAAATAATCATGTTCTAAAAATTTATTCCAAAATCCATACATATAGAAAAATAAATCAAAATTATTAGTAATTATAATTTTAAATTAATTGGATGAGAATTTAAAAAAAAAATGACAAATTAAAGTAGTAAATTTTAAATAATAAAAATAATTAACCAAAAACACTAAAATAAAATGGGACAAAATCAAAATACAATTAAAGTTTGAAATTGAAAAATATATATATAGAAAATTTGAGGACCATAAAATTTTAAATTAATTGGATGAGAATTTTAAAAAAATAACAAATTAAAGTAGTAAATTTTAAATAATAAAAATAATTAACAAAAAACACTAAAACAAAATGGAACCGAATCATAATACAATTAAAGTTTGAAATTGAAAAAAAATATAAAAAAAAAATTACAGACTAAAAATGTGTTTTAGAAAAATTATATATATTAATCATACCACTATAATTTAAAAATGATCTAAATCTATTTTTCAAAAGAAAACTAATCATATTCTAAAAATTTATTCCAAAATCCATACATATAGAAAAATAAATCAAAACTATTAGTAAATATAATTTTAAATTAATTGGATGAGAATTTAAAAAAATGATAAATTAAAGTAGTAAATTTTAAATAATAAAAATAATTAACAAAAAACACTAAAATAAAATGGGTCCAAATCACAATACAATTAAAGTTTGAAATTGAAAAAAAATGTATAGAAAAATTGAGTAGCATATAATTTTAAATTAATTGGATGAGAATTTAAAAAAAAATGATAAATTAAAGTAGTAAATTTTAAATAATAAAAATAATTAACAAAAAACACTAAAACAAAATAGGATCAAATCACAATATGATTAAAGTTTGAAATTAAAAAAAAATATATAGAATTAAAAAAAAAATTAAAGTAGTAAATCTGAAATAATAAAAATAATGAACAAAAAATACTAAAACAAAATGGGACTAAATCACAATACAATTAAAGTTTGAAATTGAAAAAAAAATATAGAAAATTTGAGGACCAAAGTGTTATAAAAATACATGAATAGTGAAAGGAATAGTGACTTATAAGTGTGTGAATAGCGATTTGTGAGTATGTGAATAGTATTTTAAATAGTGAATGAATAGTAAAATCATGTTTTACTTTAGTTTTATTGATAATAAATAATAAAAATAATTAACAAAAAAACCCTAAAACAAAATAGAACCAAATCACAATACAATCAAAATTTGATATATATATATATATAAAATTTGAGGACCAAAATGTTACAAAAATGTCATAAATAGTGAAAGAAATAATAATTTATGAGTGTATAAATAATGATTTGTGAGTATGTAAATAGTATTTCAAATAGTAAATGAATAGTAAAATCATGTTTTATTATAGTTTTATTGATAATATATGTATGTTTTATTTATTTATTTCAATTGCTTACTTTAAATGAATATTTTATCTTTATATTGATAGAAAATCTAAAAGAAATGAGATTTTTACCGTTTATTAACTATTCACTCATACTCACGTTGACTATTTACGTGACATTATTTTTGCGTGCGCACTATCCATATAGTATTATTGTAATTTTTGTCTTTTATACCTTCTAAATAATAAAGGATATATGCTACAAGATGTATTAGCATTTTGAGAAATATAAAATAATTCAATTAGTTTCATATTCAACATCTCAATTTGATAGAGAATTCATAATAACTTTAATTGAGAGTTTATCAATTCATCTCGATCTGATAAAGAATTGGTTCCAAACAACAGTCAATATATATATATATATATATACCGGTCGAGGGAAAACCATATAGAGTTGCAGTCATTTATATATATAGTATAAATTTTATATTAATTTGTTTTCTATTTATGGAGGGTGGAGCATATGGTATCTATGATATACTAATTATCCGACTATGAATTAATGACTTATTTATACATATAGTGTAAATGACTGCAACTCTATATGGCTTTCCCTCGACCGCCATTTGGAGGTCCACCTCTAATTAGTGGTGGGTGGTCCAGCCGGCCATGGCCAACTACTTCATTCTCTTCGGTCTCCCTTTCTTCACTTGAGTCTGCCCGTGGGAGTTACCTGTTTCTTTCAACCATTAAATCAAGCAAAATAACTTCCCTCTTCTTCTTGAAAAATCTTTTTAGTGTCTCACTTTTCTCAACCTAAACTTTCATTGCCATTAATTTTATAATAATAGAAGAGCATACCTTTTTCAAAACTTTATAGTAAACATTAAAAATAACCTTCTCCCATTTTTCTTTCTTTTTCCCATCACTCAAGTCTCTCTTGACATTAACATGCTTTGACTTATCTTTGTTTTTCCACATAAAAAAAGAAAGAATAAAAAGAAGAATCCATTGAAAAAATTCTTATACTTTTCAACTCCAAATTGATATTATTCTCTTTTTCTTTGTTTTGTGGACCAAACAATATTAAGCACAACCATCCCTAATAATCACGCCAAGCAAAAACAACTATGGTGTCATCAGAAGACTTCAGCTTCCCAAAGATGACAAACCCTCTTCCTCACTTTGCAATCTCACCATCATTATGGCGCGTATCTTCCCTAGTTTATCCGGATTATAGCAAAAAAGATGGTGGAACAGACTTAGATATTTCCAGCAAAAGCTTCTCCTTTACAGCAGGTGAAGTGAAGATAGAGAGCACCGAGGAGAAGATGGATATGTTATGGGAGAACTTCAATGAAGAGGAGCTTCTAAGGGTTTCTTCTAATTCCTTAGGCGATAAGAAACAATATTCAGATGATAGTTTGGATTCTGAATCTGGAAGAGGAGTGAATCAGCTTTGTTGTGCCAAGAAAGGCTTGCGAATGCCCAAATCAGAGAAAAATAGCCTCATAAGTGCTCCTGCTCGGCATCAGAGACAGAGTATTGTTGTGATGTTCAAGCATTTGAAGAAGATTTTCTTGCTTCAAAGCTCATCTTCAGATCCAGCAAAGAATCATAAAAAAACTGTAAGGTAGATAGAATTATACGACATATATATATATATAAACTGTTTTATATGTTAGCATATACACAAAATAATAAAAGTATTTCTCTTGTTTTTGAGCTTTGAGAGATATGAATATTCGTCTTGATTCTTTTGTATGGCTTTAATTAATTAGGTAATTAAAATGGATAAAATTCGAATTGGAGACTTGTTTCATGATCTTCCATGAACAAGCAATAGTGAGGTAAATTTTATTTGTTCTCATGTGCACTCGAGAGATTGAGAAATATACAAAAGAGGAAGTTGTGACTGTGTCTTTTTCTATAAAGGCTTTGACAAGAAAAAGTTAAAAGTGGTATAGACACTTGATTGAAGTAAATTATAAATTATACGCGTTAGTTTTAAAAAATGAATTAATTAATCTTTCTTATTTCAAAAATTAATTATTTAATTCATTTATCAATGTTGGTCAAAATTAATTTAATATTTATTTATTTCCAAAAAAATATCTTTTTTTCATCAATTTTATTTATTTTTTTCTTTTTCTATTTCTTCAAAAATAAAAAATCAAAATACATTGAAAAAAAATGAAAAAAGATGGAGTTACAAGTCGATATGTTTTTAGATTTAAAAACATAAAAAAATAGTTTTTCAAACAAAAAGACTCATTAATTTTTATTTTTTTTTAACAAGAGGGAGTAATTTATAATTTATGCTTGATTGAGATTTTGTACTTTGGATTGCATATATATATAAGTTAAATTGCGCTGAAATTTAATGGTCAACTTACCAAATCGAAAATTTTGTGCTGTACCCTCGAATTAATTGACAATTTGACACATTCATTTTAAAGCAAATATGATAGATGGCTTGTTATTGAATTTTGCTTAATACTTGGAAAAAAACCAGGAAAAAAAGAGTTGCAATTCCTTTTTTTAGAGAGAGCATGGGTTGTCAAGATTTAGAGTTTTGCATCCTATTATGCCATTAGTAACTTTTTAAGCAAGTTGTCATTCTCAACTAAGGAAGTTAATTAATTTACAAGCATTAGCAAAATATACATTTTAAAATCTATTTTAAAACACACACAAGTTGATGGCCCGAGTAATAAGTGAATTGGTTCTCAAGTAAACTTTTTTATCAATGCGCAAGATTTAAATCTTGGAGTCGCACTTGCTGAGAAAAATTAAATCTTGTCGATCGTTTTCGCTCCGAAAGAGATTAATCCTATCTCAAATGTGACATGGAGATACCTAATGAAAGTAAAGAGACTCATATTAAAATGAAGAAAAAGCTTAAAGATAGAGGACCAAGCAAAAATTTTACCCATAACCCTAAACACCCCGCTATAAAAGCCACAATTCTTCTCTCATATAGAGGTGGTAGCCATTCTCCCTAGAAAAGTTCTCAAACCCATTTTTAAACCCGTCAACCCAAATCCATCCAAACCTCTATATCACCAAACATTCCTTATCGTCAACCTCTAACAGTAGAGCCACCCTCTGCCATTCCTCCCCCAAAGCCACTTCCTCCACCCAAAACTTCACTAGCCATCAATCACCTCTTCCATTCCACTCGCCATAACAATAACCCAAGCCACCAACTGCAGTGCTAACAACCATTCTCCCAAAAAAATCAAATAACCTATAATAGCTTGCCACTTGTCTTCTTCATCAACTCATCAACCCCCAAACAACTAATCAGTCATAACTTTTTTTTTTTTTTTGCCATTAAACCCGACGACCACCATACATAGAAGCCATCATACAAACCTATTAATCCTCAAACTAACCCACCATAACCACTATCGTTAGCAACCACTAGCTCATTATAATCAATCACCATCATAACAATCATTGTACCACCTTGAAACCCTCACCATCACGGACCTAGAAACCACCACCATCACGATCACCAAAGCTAAAACCTTCCACCATAACCCATAGATCTAACAACCTCAATCTTCCTTATAACTCGTCAGTCCATTTTAGCCATCATCAACACCCATCAACCAAACCCAAAAATACCCATCGGAAAGATGGTGATGATTCTCTTCAAAAATTGGTTCATTTAGCCTAAAATAATCCTTGAATCTTGTTGTCCAAAAATTAAACCCATTCGGGTTTATAGTTTATTTTTGGCTAATTTAAACCATCAATCCATACTTGATAGAGTAAGCAAATAAAGATGAATAGCTTGATTTTTAGGTGCTAACCTTTCCTCTTCAATCGATAAGATTTGTTTATTGTCTTCATCGAAGGGTTGGAGAAGGTTATACTAGCTTTTTCTTGAATTTGAAACTTGAGAAAGTGATCAAAATCGATATGAGAAAATTTTAAGAGTAAACTATCATTAAGGGTAGTATATTTGAAGTGTGATTAAGATACGTTATTGCGTATCAAACCCGAAAGGATTGAAGTGAAAGATCATGCATCCTATAGAGGTGTGGAATAAACAAAATTTTTATTTTTTCTCTATCTAAAGTTCCCAAGATCATGTCATTGAATCAACTAATATATAAATATAACAAGATAATAATAAATGATTACCTTTTGTAACATAGAATTTAAACTTTATGGAAAAGAATAGTCTAAGTGTCCAACTTCTATTGATAATCCACGCAGCTTAAACACTCAAATAAGAACCAACATAAATTATGGTTTGCTAACCGTAACTATTCCGTATATTAAATTTTTCTCTAGAAATCTTTTAGGGTTTTTACGCCAATTGATTTTCGGATAGAGGGTGGCCGAAACTTTTTAGGAGAGAGGTACTCTATTTTTTTTCTTTCGTTATGTTATCGTCTCTCTCGCCCTCCTTTATTTATAAGGGCGACAACAAATCCCTCTTCGAAAAGGAGTCGTTACTTATGTGAGCTTTATCTAACCTTATCCTTGTAAACCCCGTGGCTTATCCATTAGTGCTTAAGTTTATCCATCCATCAAAAATATCTTGTAGGCTATTTAATTAACCTATTGACCCAAAATGCTTTGGCCCAATTAATTATCAATTAATTTAGATCATCCAAATAAATTAAGTCGGATATTTTTAGGTAGGCCTACATTAAGAAATAATTTTTCAAATTATCCTTAAACTTAAATTAAGAAACTGATTTTTTTTAGGTAATCGACTTCCAAATTTGAAAACTGATTTTCAAATTAAGAAATTAATTTCTAAAATAGGAAACTAATTTTCATTTTAGGAAACTAACTTTTCAAAATAGAAAACTTTTCAAAACATGAAACTTTTTTCAAAATCTTTGCTTCTCTTTTATTGTGTGAATGTTTAAATTTATGTGTATGACTCAATAGGTCCCTAGACATATTGATATTAAATCAAGAAGATAAAAGAAATCTCTTTTGTCTCTTGATATATAAATCAAGATTGGCCTCCAGGTAAGATATCAAGACTACCTAATTCTCTAAAAGAATTAATTAATCCGTAATTACCTTTCACGAGTATGATTTTCACACAATTCGGTCCCATGTCAATTTATCACGAGTGTGATCTCGAACTTGATTTATTATCTATTCGATTATAATCACACAAGTTTTCTTTGATCTCTAAATGTCTTGGTTCACAAGTAAACTAATTACGCTCTTTTGGTACACTTTCATTGTGGTCATATATTTTTTAAGCGGAAATTCATCGAAATACAATGTGATAACTCATTTAACATATAAGGAATGACATGTCTAATCTCGATCATCCATCTATCTCCATTAGATTTCTAATGCATCCAACAAATTTTTCACATGCGAGCTTTTTACCGAGCCCATCAAAACGAGTGTCAAAATACACCAATCCTCTAGTGAGATAACTATGATGATTTCAAGTCAAAGAACCACTTATATCCATCTTGTATGAGATTCCTATAGATAATACCAAATAAGTTCTCATGACGAGTCACATTCAGGTGATATATTCTCTAACATTATTCATCCGAGTATTTGCTTTGGTATCATTATGTCAGCAAGTGTAAGATCTCTTATTACTATCTTATATCAAGAGCATAGCATTCACAAGTCTTACCCCATGTTATCAATGTCCATTCTTAATAATGCTATGACATGAGACATTTAATGATATCATTTAAATACATTGATGTTTATCTCACATCTATTGATCAATCATTAATGCGAGTACATATCATATAGACGTCTATCTAATTCTATCAATGTATAAATAAGAAGAATTAATAGAAAGATTTTTTTATTAATATTAAAATGTAATAATATAATACATCAAACCATCTAAACAACTTAAATCTAGGACACCTATACTAACAATCTCACACTTGCACTAGAGCCAACTAGCCTTGTCTTATACCCGATGATCGAATAAAGATTTCATGTTTCTGCTGTGACAAAAGCTTAGTCAAAGGGATGTTATGTTATCGTTAATGTGAACCTTTTTTATCTTTATATCACCGTGACTAATAATCTCTCTCATCGGGAGGTAATATCATAGTACATGCTTGGACCATTGATGAAACCTTAGTTCCTTAACTTGCACTATGGCTCTATTATTACCGACCATAAAGCCATGTGATATTAGAAGAATTCTTTTCTTTGTTTTTTTCATTCTAAACCTTTTAGTATTTTATCAATGTAAATACTTTGTGAGAGCTTAAGATTTTACATGATCTATCTCTATTGATTTTTATTCCTACAATGTAGGCTATCCTCCTATATTTTACATAGAGAAATTCTTGAATACTCAATCTTTTATAGATTGCAATATGATAATATTATAACCAAACGTAGTTTGTTATCTACATATAGAACAACAAAGACTACCGAGCTTCACTAATCTTTTGTATACACAAGGTTCATCTTTGTTTTTTAAAGAGTTAAACTTTTTGATCATTTCATCAAAACATTGATTCCAACTCCTAAATGCTTGCTTAAGTCCATAAATAAATCTTTGCAATTTGTAAATCTTGTTTGTATATTCTTTAATGATAAAATAATCGGATTATGTCATGTACATGTACTTATTCAAATTTTCATTAAGTAGTTTTGATATTCATTTGTCATATCTCATAATCATGATATATAGTAATTACAAGCATGATCCTAATGGATTTAACCATACCAACAAGTAAAAAGGTTTCATCATAATCAATCCCTTATTTTTTATGATAGCCTTTTGCCACCATTTTGGCTTTGTACGTATGTACGTTATCATTTATGTCGGTCTTTCTCTTAAAGACTTACTTAAATCTCGTAGGTCCGACACCTTCGATGGGTCAATCAAATTCCATACTTAGTTTATATGATTCCATTTTGGATTATATGGCTTCATGCCATTTTTCGAAGTCAATATCTAACATTACTTCTTTTTAGGTATTAAGTTTGTCATCCTTTATAGGAGACACATACCATATGCAAAGACAAGAAGACCATATTTTTCTAGCTCTTGATGAATCTATTTAGACTTATGAAGTTCTTATGTATCAAATTATGAGAAGTTCTTAATTTGTGTATCTACTCGAATCTCATTGAATTCAACTTTTCACCCAATGGATCTAGTATCTATAAATTATTTCTCAAGGAATACAACATGTCTAGCCATGAACACATTTTTGTTCTTAAATTTGATAAAAGTAATATCTATTTATTTTTTGAATATCCAATAAATTTGAACTTTGTTAATTTGGGCTTGAGCTTATCTCTCGTTTATACATTTGACATATGTTTCACAACCCTAAATCTTAAGAAAAGATAAATTTATTTTTTTGTTCTTTTCATATCTCATATAGAGTCCGATCAATAAATTTTTTTCGAACCTTTTTCAAAATAAAGGTTGCAATATGGAGTGCATATCTCCAAAATGAAATAAAGATATGAGTATGACTCATCATGGATTGAATCATATCTAATAGTGTCTTATTCCTCCTTTCGAACATGTCATTCATTTATGGTGTTCTAAGTAAAGTCTATTGAGAAAGAATCTCATTCTCTTTCAAGTGATTTAAAAATTCGGTGCTCAAGTGTTCACACCCCGATCGGATCGGATGCCTTAATACTTTTGCACGTTTATTTATTGACTTCAAATCTAAATTCTTTAAACTTTCCAAATGCTTTATATTTATGTCTCATTAAATAAATATAACTAAAACATGGTTTATCATCAGCAAAGATTATGAAATAATCATATCCTCCTCTTGCTTTAGTGGACATGAGCCCACATATATCAATATGTATAAAGCCTAACCAATCGTCGACCCTTTCTCCTTTTTTCACTAAAAGGGGATTTTGTAATTTTACTAAGTAGATGAGATTCATAAACATTATAAGATTCATAATCAAATGATTCTAGATATCTATTTTTATATAGTTTGAATATTCAATTCTCATTTATATTGCCAAGTCGACAATGCTACATATATGTTTTATTTAGATCATTCGATTTAAGTCTTTTTTAATTTTATGTTATTTATGAAAGTTTCAATGTTCAAAACATATAAACCATTATTAATAACACCATTTTTATATAAAATATTATCTTTATAAAAAGAATAACTATTATTCTTAAACAAAAATGAAAAATCTTTACGGTCTAAACAAGAAATGGAAATATGTTTCTAGTAATACTAGGAATATAATAACGACTTCTAAGTTTAAGCACAAGCCCATATGTCGGTGCTAATTCATTGGTGCCTACAACTAATGGTATAACTCTTGCTCCATTACCAATGTATAGGTCAACTTCCCTTGAAGCAATCTTCCTACTCTCTTTAAACCCTTGTATATTTATTCAAATATGAGCATCACATCTAGTATAATATACCATGAGGTGGGATTAGAAGTAAAAAAATTAATTTTAATAATATAAATACTTGAGGTGTTAGTAGAACTCTTCTTTTACACCTTTTCTAAGTACTCATTGCAATTACGCTTTTAATGCCTTTTTTTTTATTGTAATGAAAACATATTGCTTCCTTTTGACTATCTTGAGCCATGAATTTTTTACCCCTCCTTTAGGTGTAATTGATGGCTTCTTTGGGTTTTTTTATCCTTCACCTTACCTTCACCCTTGTTAACAAAAAGTATAGAACTTTTGTTCTTCTTGTTCATCTCGGGCTAAGCTTCATTTAGCATAGACAATAACTTTCTTAGAGTTTTTTCCATGTGCATCACTTTTAAATTCATGATGAACTATTCAAAGCTATTTTTGCTCGATGGTTAATGGTTAAAGGCATCCTCCTTCCTTAATCATGAGGATTAATTCAAACCTCAAATCAGATTGTGAGAAAGAAAATTATCATGAATTCCTTAATTTTTGAGAGCCACCATAACTAGTTCTATATCCAAATCTCATCTTGTACATATTGCTAAAAGCATCATCCGATGATTACTTAAATCTAATAGCTAAGATTCTACTACTTGTATTGTGCTAATTATCAAAGTGGACATATGGTATAATTCTTTATATAAAATTATGATGCACAAAAAGACACCACCTATTTTATTTTATTTTTACTATAAAGGTCTATAAGAGAAAAAAAATGTGATTTGCATATCAAGATATTCTTAGAATGGAAAAAGACATTCAATTTATTATATTATTTCAATTATGATGCACAAAATTCAAGCTTATAAAGAAACAATAATGATATCTTTCTTAAAAAAAAACATTTTCTAAAATTATTTTTTCAATGTAAAATATTTTTAATAGCATAGCTAAGCTCTATCATTCTGTTATCTTTTTCCTTAATCAACAAGTTAACCTAATTAATTTTAATACCAATTAATTAACAAAATAACCTAACCAATCAATAATTAAATATAAATTAAATTAAAATTCAATTAATTAATCGAATTAAGTTAACAATTACAAAAAATAACAACTTTTTTTAAGAAACAAAAAAGAGGGAAAGAGCATACCTTCGGACAAGGGGAAGACAAAGAGGAAGAAGGAAATTCGAGGCTTTTTAAGGAGAAAAAAGTTTGGAGTGGGTGAGAGTTGGTGGGGAGTGGAGTAGCGAGGTTTTGTGGTGGTTTCGGGTAGGACGATAACAACGGCTAGAGGAGGAAAAGGAGAGGAAGAAAATGGAGAAAAAGAAAGCAAAACTATGATTTAAGAATTTAAAATTAGAGCTGGACGTAATTCGATTGCTAATCCGTTGTTAATCAACGACGAATATAAGTGTCCCTCACTAATCTATCTCTCGATCTTATGCAATTTGAATTGCTAAAGTTCGCTTATCTTTTAACATTAGCAATAGACTTTCCGTCACAAATTTACGAGAGAAATATGCAGTTAGGGACAAAAATCCCGTGGCTAACCCCGAACCCATAAAGTAGTGATGAAATTAGGAGTTTATCGCCGATGTTCTTCGGAATTCTCTTTAAGCCGTCTCTAAAATACTTATGAATATTTTACCGTCAAATATAACAATGGATATAAGTCTCTCGTTGAAAATCCGTCGGTGTTTTGTAGCCGAGGCCTATACCTCAAGCAATGATCACAATTCGTTCGTTGATCCGTCACTATTTAGCGAGAGAATACACTCCATCATTGATTTTCGTTACTATTTTTCAATTTTTTTCTAATAATTCTTTAGTAATCAAAGCTTACCTATTTCTTTTAATTCAACTTTTCAAGAAATAAGATAAAATAAATAATTGAAAAAGAACATGAAATTGATAAAATGACTAAATATAACTAAATTTAAAAATAAGGATTAAATATAAAGTTTATAAAAATATAAGAATTAATTATTAATTTTATTAAACTTCAAGTTCTAATTTATAATTTACTCGTTCAAAATTACCAACTTCACCGAATATCTACCCCGAACTAGGCAATTCAGCAGTCAGCGTCAGCATCAACTGTTCCACAATTCCAAGCAAATGCCAACAACTTATCTTCACCTCTTAGTTTTAGTTTTTGTCCGTCCCAAAATACATAAACAGAATTACAGCGAAGGAGATCTGTCAGAAAGAGGAGAGAAAAATGGATTTGGAATCAGTAAAGAGATACATAGAGAAAGGAGGAGATGAAGATGACAAGAAAGCAACAACCATTGAAGAAGTGCCACTCAGATTCTTTGAAAGGTTCGTAATGGAAGGACTTCATATTGATCACATTGAACCTGGCCGTGTTGTTTGCTCCATGAAAGTCCCTCCTCGTCTTGTGGTAATCAGTACAAATTAACCTCAAACTGTCAGTTTTGATGTAATTATCAACTTATTCATATGCATAATCAAGGATTTCAATATGACCTATTTGGATTCTTGGGATTGCTTCCATGATTGACTACTGTGTTGCCCATGATTGATTTTGAGTTTGACAACACAAGTAAGGAACATTGGAGAAACGGTTGGATTACCCTCCATTTCGTTTGGCAGTGGAGATGACTAATGATAACTAAGAGAAAGTTGAGCTTTTTTTTTTTTTTTTTTTTCCAGTCAGAATTCTTTTCTCGAGTTCTGTGCTTTGAGATCTTGAAATACTAGCAAAAGTTTGTAAATTTGTTTCATACTTTAAACCAAACAATGACTTGATGATTTAGGGTTTAAATTGTGTTTCTGATTATTGGGGTTTTGCTTGATGGCTTGTTGTTAAGAATGGTGGCAATTTCATGCATGGTGGGGCTGCAGCAATGCTGGTTGATGCGTTAGGATCAGCTGCACTGATCACAGTGGGAGCGTTTTTAACTGGAGTTTCTGTGGAAATTAGTGTTTCATACTTTGATGCTGCTTATGCAGATGTGGGTATCATTCCCTCCACTCTTTATATTATACTTCGTTCCTTGTGTTCATTTTATTTCTTCAATACAATTGATAGCATAATTCCAATCATAATTTCTTGAATATTTGATAGAGTGGAAAAGGAAATCTTTTTCTAATGAGACATAAGTTATATGCTTTCCTTTTTATGGTTAAACATGTTGACTTGCCAATGTCTGTTTGTTTCTTTTGGTAACGGTGTAATTACTAGGCCTAATTGATGAAAAAATTGATCCATATAGCCATCAATTTATATCTCAAACCCTATCATACTATGATGTAGCAAGCCTTGTTGTAGATCTCTAAGTGTTCGAGGTTGCTTACGTTTAATTGCAGCTGTAATCACACGAGCTCTGGCACTGTTGACTCACGCTTGAGTAGGATAAGTAGAAGTTGGAATGGGGCTATCCTCTTTTGTGCAATGTTTTATTTATCAGATAAGATGAACAATAGGTCCACTCTATTGTTGATGACCAAGAAGGTCTGGTCATGTAGGACAAGAAAGAGAACAAAATTGGGAGAGGAGGGGAAATCATAGATTCTTAGAACTCCAAGAGGGAGTAAAATAATCTCAATCTCTATGTTGATAGTCAGTGTTAATTTCCTTCGTCAAAGCAGCTGTTTATGTCTTGATGTTCCTTTAAACATGTAAAAATGATGATCATTCATATGAAGTTGTCTACTTCTCTTAATTCAGGAAGAAATCGAGATAGAAGCCAGGGTTCTAAATGCGGGTAAAGCTGTTGGAGTTGCAAGCGTTTAGTTCAAGAAGAAACAGACTGGGAAAATTATTGCTCAAGGGCGTCATACTAAGTACCTAGTTATTTCTAGTAAAATGTAAATGACCAGCAAATTTGTCAGTTCAGTTGAATGCTGAAGAGTTTGACACTTGACTGCGTTGAAGGTCAGTAAATTTACTTGCCCCCTCAGATATTGTTGCAGTTCCTTTGATGTGCTAGTCTGAATTTCTCCTAGAGTTTCAAGATAGCATATTTTATGCAATGCAATGATTTATTTCATGAATTGATGAACTGAAAAATAATGTCAGATTGTGAACATCTTCAACGGGGAAAACAGTTGAGAACTTCCTGTGATTTATTCAGTATGGTTGTCTTTAACCTACCTAAAGTACTCATGCAGAGTCTCTGATGCACACCTTATGCAATACAATGATTTATTTCCTAAATTAATGAACTCGAAAATAATGTCAATCGTTTGTAGTTTATAGTATCATCTACGAGGAAAACAGTTTAGAACATCTTCTACCTGTGATTTATTCACAGTATAGTCTTTAACCTACCTAAAGTAATCATGCAGAGTCTATGATGCGCACATTATGAGAAATGTTTTTCTTGCTGCATTTTGATTGTTATTACTGCAGTAAAAGATAATTCAAGAGGGTCTTAAAGCTAGCAAAATAATCAATTTATAACCAGGAAAAAGAAAAATGTTATAAAAAGGAAAAAGAAAGATATAATTATGGGGAATTTTTTATTTTGTTAAAAATTCCTTTATTTCTCTGAAATCTTGACACCAACAAGTAAATACATCGCCAAAACATCTGTTAACTACAAAAATAATTGTGAATTTGTTTTTAGATACTTATTTGTGATTTTTTTTTTTATCACATAAAAGCAGTAATATTTGTGATTTTTTTTTTCCAGATACATATGATTATTTTTTTGTATCCTTGGATTAACTACAAAACTACCCCTCACCTATCACCTCATTGACTATGTTACCCCTTATGAAAGTGGTCAAACAATTTTGCCCATGCGTTTGGATTTCATCAAGAATTTGCAGCTGCACGTCTTGATCACGCCATGGCTTGCTGATGCATTTTCAGACAAAACAATCAACTGTTGTTGTCCTAAACTCCTAATGCTAGCTCCTCTTTATATATTACTAACTACACCCATCCATCCAGCAGCGAAGCCCAAATACCAATTAATCTTACTAGTAACTAACTATAAATAATACATTTGAAGTCAAAATGCATATAGCGCATCTCTACATACTCTATACATGTCCTATTCTATAGTCCTCGGTAGTCAATTACATCACTCCTTAACTTGTCTATTATTGCATCTGTAATTATGCAGTCATACCACATTGGCATTGAAATTCAATCATAGCCATTCATTCTATTACAATGAAAATATATGATCAATGGCAAAGGGCAAAACAGATGACAACACGAGGAAGACTTGCTACAAAGCCCACATTAATAATTTGTTTGTTGAACGGTAAACTTGAACACTAGCTTTTTCCTCAACTGCCTCTACTTTCAAATTAAGTTCAAACCTTGTTTTTCTGAAATGATTTATTTATTATTATTATTTTAAGAAGAACGTACAAAGTTGGTCATTTCAAAACTTCAGTAGTATGACAAGATATTGGAAAAGTTTTCACTAATTTAATTTGGTTTCTTAATTTTGGTTTACTGTCCACTGCATGCTTACATTTGACTTGGGCATCTGACCTTATTTTCTAAATGCAAAAAGGAAGAAAAATAATAGGGAAGTTTGTGTGGTGGATTTATTTAAACTTCATTTCAGAATCTGCCTTTTCTTTTTGTACAAACTGTGTTATATATTCCTGGTTTGGCATGCATCTGATGTTGGGTATGCAGGCTCTGACATTGAAAATTGAGCTCAGGTGCATGGTGCATTTGATGGCTTTAGAAAGTAACTAGCTTGACAATTTCCATAAACTGATAGAATCAATCTGTCTTCCACAAAATTCTGAAGAATTCGCCATGATATATCTGATCCATGTATAATATCATGAAAAATGGATACAATTCTATACATCTGCCCCTTTTCAACGCATTTCTTTAGACAAAGACTCCGTTTTTTCCTTTTTTCGGATGGTAAATATTTCTCAGAACATGGAGTGTGAATCAAACCCATGTTTGAATTGAAATTGAGATACTGATGCAAGTTCTTCCCTTCTGAATCAGATAGATTAATATTCAAAAGAGGTTAACAATAAGTTCTTTCAAAATTGAATATTTGTCCCTCTGTTAGAGGCATTCCAGAAACATCTACGATAGAATAAATAGTTCTACAAACGAATGGATCGGGTTGAATTGGAAAATGGAAAGATTTGTACAAGCTTTCGTCACCGTTTTGTGGAAAATCATTAGGTATGAAGCATTTAACATTGTGGGAATGAACAAAAGACAAATAACCTGTTTGAGGGACCCTTTGGAAGGATCATAAATGTGCTCGCAGAAGAAGACATGATCAAAGATTGTAGAAGTGCTGCATGTTGGAATATCATTTTTGTTTCCGACTTCACATTTCCCTTCAATTGCCTCGACTGATGAAAGGTGTGTCTCGTCACTGTAATATATCTGTGATCAAGGAATAAAAACTCATTAGGAGTTAGACAGAAGCAGCAAAGTCTAGACTCCAAAAAGCTTTGTATGGACTGAAGCAAGAACTAGAAACTCAAAATTTCAAGATTGATAAATATTTCTTCCAACAATTAAGTAAAAACCAAAACATATCAGGTGTCAGAGCAGTTTCTAGAGTTCCTTCGGCACAAATGCTTCAGACAAATTTGCATGATTATAAATATCATCTGGTCTGAAAAATCTTTGAACTTTGACCTAAGTGGATCTTGTTCCGGCTTGTTTTGGTTCCTTTGGAACAACCTCCAACAACTGGCACACAACATAAAGCTTCAATCCAACATTCCTTCCACCTTTAAAAGTTTCATTCTCCCCCTTTCTGGAGCAAATTGATGAGGACCCACAAAGACAAAATCATGGACAGAGTACTCGGTTCCCTTGTATGAAAATCCTGTCTGAGAAGAATTTACTTTGAAAACATCCTTCTCTTCTTCAGCTATTTTTAAGTTACAAGAGTGGCAGACACCAGTGCCAAGACCCATAGTATCAAACAGGGGAGTGAAGAAAGCAACTCTTTTCGGCCGGTACAAGCTTTTACAGTAATATTCTAGTGGCAATCCTTTCTTTTTCCTCTCTTCTGCCTTTGCCCCATCAATTCTATCAGCATTGGTGTTATCTTTCCTGTGATAATGTTCCCATGCGCTTTTTCAAACTTCAAGAATAATTGCTTGCTTAGCATCCTGTAGTTTATAATTCATGCACTAGGTTGTTAAGAAAACCTCTCTATCATTGGCAGTGTTACCAAGAACTCTCAGATCCCCACTTCATAATTCTCCCATGAAACGTTTTGCTTCCATTTCGTGTCTCAAGCATGTACTCCAGAAAATAGATGGCAGGAAGTTCATCCAATTCATCAACCTCCACTAAAACAGCAACCCCCACCACAATGACCTCTCCACAACAATGGATTGTTTGTAAATGGCTTCTCCAGAAGATGGCTTGCTCACAGGATTTCCATCCCATCTTACTTCCTTTTGTGAAGTATGGGATTTAGTATGCTCAGACACCGAATGAGATTTTAGTGTTTTCTCTGCCTCCTCCTCTTTATCATAATCTTCTTTTTCATTCTGCTCCTCATCTTCATCCTCTTCTTTCACTTCACAATCAGTTCCCTCCAAATCCTGTGGAGAATAGTTTGAATAATACTCCCCTCAAATTCTGTTGATCAGCCTTGTTGTTGTTGTCTGCATAAGCTTCCTCTTGGATGCTCCAGGAGCCACAGTATCAATTGCTGCTCGGGGATTCAAATCGGATTGAAACTTTTGCACAGTTGCTTTCTTGTTCACTACCCATTTAGTATGGTGCCTCTCCTCCATTTTATGAGTCAAACTGACCACAAAAGCACATTTCTTGATCTTCTGATCTGCAAACTAGGCAAAAAGCTGCAGCAGTATCTGTCCATGCACAACCACGTATCTCTCAACAGCTGCTGGATCAGAAGAAATATAAGCATGATGATCCTTCCTGAACTCAGACACTTTCCGGATTACATCTGCAAAAGAAAGTCGTGATACTCAACTTTGCTCCTTCAACAATGTGATGATGCTTCTTGCAAAGTCCTTAGGACTGGCTTATACCAGGAACCATATTGTTTTGATGGCTTCCCAAGTCTATACCCGAAGATATTGAGAAAGTAAAAACATTTATCAGGATCAGAAAAAAATAAAATTTTTAACTTGCAACACCAGAAATCATTGTTAGATAAAACCCAATATAACTTCGTTTTTCTCCGATATATGTCAGTAACCTGCTACAAACTTAATCAATCCCTATAGTTAAATAGTTTCACATATTACTAACGAGAAGACATTTTTGATTGGTAAACAGAATGTAAGACTTTAGTTAAAATGATCAGGAGCAATGTCAAGACAGCAATAATTTTAGTATACATGCAAGTGTTTGTGTGTCTGTATTGGTGTTATTCGTTTGATTAATAACAGTATGAGAATATGTACCATACCAGGCCATGTCCGTGCATACTGATATAAAAATCATCGATGCTCCAAACTCAATCATCCACTCCTTTATTGCACTAAAAAATATTGGCAAACCCATGTCATCCTGAGCCTCTGAACCCCAAGAAGTAGACTGATCAGGATCATCAAGACAGAACGTGCTTCCATCATCTTCAGTCATGCTTCCTGATCCAAAGATGGTGTCATCAATATCTTCACAAGGTTTCATTGGAAGAATCTCCAAAGAAATCAACCTTTAATCTGAGTTATAAAGTGACCAGTTATGTAGCATTTTTCTAGGGAGATCATCAGGATGGTCAATCATCAAGACAGAACCCGCTTCCATCATCTTCAGTCATACTTCCTGATCCAAAGATGGTGACATCAATATCTTCGCAAGGTTCCATTGGAAGAAGCTCCGAAGAAATCAACCTTGAGTCTGAGTTATAAGTGACCGGTTATGTAGCATTTTTCTGGGGAGATCATCAGGATGGTCAATTACATCATCACTTGCAACAGCTATAAACTCATCGGTTTCTTCATTAGTGTTTGTAAAATGCAGGGAAAGGGTAATCATTTGAAATCTCATCTTCATTAATTTTGATGTAGATTGCGTTTGATGCAAAGGCTGAACCCCAACTTTTCTTTGGCCTCATATTAGAGTGCCAATACTCTTATTCCTGTAAGAATCTTGCTAACTTTGCATCCTCTTCTTCCTCAGCTATGATGCTGGACTGGTTAGACTATTTCACAATAGCACCATCCACAGATTCTGGACCAATCACCAAATAATTGGTTTAGACCAGACCTCCAAAAAGAATGACAAAAAATTTGCAGAATTGCCTGCTCTTGTTGCCTTGAGAGATGAAATTCACAATCATGGAAGTATTCTGCTAGCAAAAGCAGCAAATTCTGGTGGGAGCTCATTCTTTATGGAGGTCTGGTCTAAACCAATTATTTGGTGATAAATAAATTCACCCTGAGAAATGAGGAAATCCTTTACAGAAGCAGCACCATAGAAACACTTGTTTCCGCTCATTGCTCGCACAACCTAGCAAGCAACTCATCAAGGGAGAATTCTGGGTTTCCTCCACAAAATCTTGAGAGTTTTTTGTGAACTTCTATGCAAGCAAGTGCCTTCTGAAAGAAATGATTGAAGAACTTCTTGTAGCCACCAGCAGGCTTGATCCAATCACTATCTGCTACTTCAGTAGTCAGCCAAATGACTAGGGATCCATCTTCATAACCAACCCCATGCTTCTATCCGACCAAAGCCTTCGCACATAACAGAAACTTTTTTTCCTTGTCAAGGCTCTCCTCAAGAGGCATTATAACACCAGAGATAAATATATCATCAACTTCAATCATCTCCAATGGTTGTGGATTACCATTTGCATCATGCAGAACAAAATCAATCAATCTCCTGTTGGGGCGACCCTCTTCTTGTCCTTGAATCAAACGAAGAACTAAAATCCCTTCATGGACAACTTGTTCTTTCTTTGATTCAACAACAGAAGACTTCTCTTCTCTTCATGCAAACTTAGAGATTTCTCCTCGAAATCTTTGCATGCAGCAGCTCTCTTATGCCTTTTCAATGAACCACCACCACCACCACCAGCAGGATCTTCCTTGTTAGTATCAGAGAAATTTATCTTCTTTCCTTCTGTGTTTTTTGCTGGAACTTCCTTCTTTACATTAGACACCGAAGATTTTTGCTTTCCTTTTTTGTTCTTCCTCATTCCTACTACAAAGTAGGAAAGTTCAGTGATGAAGCAAAAAGTTTAAGATTTTGATTGTTAAAGTCGGTCATGAAGCAAAAAGCATTAGACTTTGAGTGCCACAAAAGAGCATCTTGTCATGTACCATCAATCAACCAAATTACTTCATGCAGTACTAACTCGTACAATGTGAGTTTTCTAGTGAAAAAAAACTTATATTTACGTGTGTGTGTGTGTGTTTGGTGACGCAGTTGCAAGTGCGGTAGGGCTGAAAAGCATCGAATTGATTACTCATTTCCAGGCACCAAATTGATGCTGTTCACATCTCCGAACCAGACTTCCAAATGCACTTGAGCGTAATACAAAATAAGTAAAACTTGGATTATAATAGGCAAACAATAAGGTTACAGACCCGCCAAATCAAGAAGGCTAATAATTGATGCTTTCGCATTTCCAGTAGCACTTGACTGAAGTATCAAAAGTGCGCTAAAAATTTTATTCCAACAATGACAAATAAAAGGGTTTAAAACCCACCAAATCGAGAAAGCTAATAATTAATGCCTTTTGCATTTTCAAAACATACCAAAATATCAAATTTGCCGTAAAACTTCAAATACAATGGTGGCAAATAATAGGGTTACAAACCCACCAAATTGGGAAAGCTAATAATTAATGCATTTCGCATTTCCAATCATACTTGACCGCAATACAAAACATGCCCTAAAACTTTTAACACAACAGCGGCAAATAATATGATTGCAAACCTACCAAATAGAGAAAGCAGATAAATAATGCATTTCACATTTCCAATCATAATTGGCCGCAATGTGAAACATGCCCTAAAACTTTTATTACAACAGTGCAAATAGCATGGTTACACACCCATCAAATCAAGAAGGCTAATAATGCTTACACAAACGGCAAATACATGCATAAAGTACACTAGGCAAATGAGAACAGGACTCAATACAATCAAGGGTATGCACTGTAATACTTTTTATACACGAAGGAAATCTAAATTGTCACATTTCAAGATGTCCCAAATCATGAACAGAGTTTGTTTTCCAACAGAAGCTGTACAATTTCCTGTATGTTTTTACTCGAAAAAACAAAACAAAACAAAACACAACAAACAAAACCCAGTTTGCAAAAGGGAAAAGAAAAACCCCAAGTTGATGAATTGGATCTTGGGTTTAAGTTTTGGGTGAAAGAGAGAACGAAAGGTGGAAGCTTTGCCTTTGATTACATAGATAAATGGTAAGACTCCATAAACAATTTTTTTTTTTTTTTTTTTGAAGAAAAAAAGGGGAAAAACCAACGAAGCAAACATAATCCAATCATCAAACAGACATCAAGTACATTGAGATTGAATGAATACATGATGATGCAGAAGAAGTAGTATTATCAACTGGTTCACTTGTTGTTATACCCAATATTGATGAAGATCCCATCTTCTTTTCTTCCTTTCCCCAATCAACAAGCAACTGCTTCTGTTTCTGCTTCTGCTTTGTGCTTTGCGGTGGCCTGAGTTGGACTAGGTTTGGTAGGTCTGTGTAGATTAATGACAGGAACAAAATGAAAATGTAAAGGTAATGGTGAATTTAATGGAAAAACAGTAAGCGGGGAACGAAATGATGTGTGATTTGGTTTTTGGCATTGGCGCCAATTGCCTCCAAAACCAAAACCAAAAGATGTGTCACTCACTCATCTCCTCCCTCCATTACTCATCCTTGTCTTTTCTCCCAACCCCCTGTCCTGTGACAGATTTCCTGATGGGCTGGGCCTATTCTCTTTCTGGCCCATTATATTGACGGGAAATGCCATGTTATTGTTTGTGGGCTATAGCCTATTGGGTAATATAATAAAGGTTGGATTTTTCCCGTTTTCCTATTTGGCAGTTGATTGGTTGAGTTCTCCTTCCTTCCCTCTTTCCCCCTTTCCTATACCCTCAAAGTCCTCAGCCCCTGCCCTGCACTGCATTGCCTTGCCTGTTCTTTGACAGACAATAAAACTGAGTTGGCTTGTTTTCAGAATCTAACTTTTTGGTTTTCAGAATTGTCAAAAAACGACTGCACCTTTTTACTAGGAGAAAATGGCTGCCAAGAAACCGAAGAGGAAAATCAAGCATCTCATATCTGCAATTCAATCTCCACAGGTTAGCAAAACCCCACTTTTATCTAATTCTCTGCAGCCCAATTTGAAAAGATTTTGTCTTTACTTTGATTTTCTTGCAGGGTCTAAATCCACCCAACCTCAAAAGACTGTATGCTCTACTTCACCATTTGTCTACTTTGGACTCCCCCATAAGTGGCAGTTTCCCACACAGGAAGTTTAAGAAATGTGGATTCAATTTCAAACTTAAAGACATTCAGTGCCTCTCTGATATTTTGTTTAAACAGCTTGAGGCTAGGTTTCATGGGTTCTTCTCTGCTTTACACGAGCATAATGTTTCTGCTGCTGATAATCGAAAGTGTTTCCTGATTGGAGAACTGACATTGCTTTTGAGATGCTGTTTGGTTTTGCTGGTTTTGATTGAATATGACCACCTTCTTCTTGTAGAGAAGGGTTTGGCTATTCTTTCCATACTTAGCAGATTGATTTCAATAGAGTTAAGTGGTGGAAATGGAAAGAGTCGTATTACTTTCAAGAAATTGGTTTCTCGTCAATGCGTTAGTGATGATTGTACCACCTCTATTACTGAGGAGTTTGTTGCTTCTTTATGTTTGTGGGAACCTTCTGATCCGCGCTATGCATTTCTACGTGCTGTGCTTGAGGTAGGTTTTGTAGCTTTTCGATTTTGCATCCGTTTTCTTTTGCTTACTGATACTAGTGTTTTATAGGTTATGAGATATCTTCGTTCTCAATTTTGCAAGAGTACTGCTTAAATGAGATTCATAAATTATGGTTTGGAGGACTTAGAAATAAGTAGAATGTAGATTTCTTGATAACAGACGTGCCTTTTATGCATCCCTTGATTGTCTTCGATGGTTTCGACATATACGAATTCAACCCTATGGATATAGAATAATCTCATCTCATTTAGATCTTTTTCTTTCCCGGATAGGCGATGGGTTTTAGACCTGGATTTATCATAACTTGAGGCATTGCTAAGTCTCACTAGAGCTCAAATTTGGTTTTCTTAACATGATAGGGGCAGGCATTTATTTGCATAACGTGAAAGAAATCCAAGCTCATAAGAGAGAGAAACCAAATTTTGTGATGATCCTATTTAGGATGGGCGTACAATTGTAATATGCCTGATGGTGATGATCCAAGTTTTTCCTCCATCCTAGTTTCGTTGACACAAATTCAGTTCCAGTTAAAAGGTCAAGTCATGGCCTATCTTTTTGAAGAATTGTCTTCATTTGTATGAAGCCTTTTCTCCTTTCATTTCCTTCTCATGCTTTCCTTTTTCTCCTGATAGCTCATAGCTGCTTTTTTGTGAGAGCTTTCATTAGTCAAAACCTAACTTAATATTGAAGTATCATCTTTAGGTGTTTGCAGATGAACTTTTGGTGCATCAATCATTGAGACAGTACTTTGTGATAGTTGATTCTGCACCTTCCAGAAGCGAAAGGCTATTCGCGTGCCCCTCTGGGCATGGTAATATTGGAAGTGTTCTGGAGGTGATTTGTGCTCATTTTGTTGTATCACTTTCTGATGAGCAAGCTTTTGAAAATTTTCTCAACGGACGATTTTGGTGCCATGGGGAGGATTCCAGATTTCCTGAAATGGGCCTGCCAGCGGCCTTATCATTGCTTCTCAATCCCATCATGCTATCTGCACCCAAATTGTTTCAGGCATATTTGATTTTAATGGTTTCTGAAGCCATTGGTATTTGCATGCCACAACCGAATATGATGCTGGATCTTAAACTTATGGATTGCTATACAGAAGCATTTGAAACGTCTATCTTCTTGTATACTAGGCACATGTCTAGTTTGCATGTTGATGATGATTTATTGGGTGACAATGGTTCTTTTATCACATCAGGTTTGCATGGAAGCAATAGTAAGCTGAATTTTGAATCTCTTCTTCAGCCAGCCACAAGAGACAAACTACATCATCTAATTTCCAAGTCATATGATGCATGGGATTCCTATTTAAGCAACATGTCTTCCAAAACAAATTCTGAACTGATGGCTGCCTCTATTGCCTTCATGAAGGAGAACCTATGCATTGTTGATGAATCATATAAAGATGAGGTTCTGTCAATCTTAAGTTGCATAATACTTAGATGTCCATCTGATGATATTGGTGACACTTTACTGCTCAAAAAAGGGAAAACTAGCTCTCAAGACATATATCTTCTTGCTTCCATCTTGAAATTAATGAGTAGTTCAATGTTGCAAGCTATCTGGTATGGAAGACATCTTAGGTTTTTAGGTTGCCAAGATGTTTCTTCGTGTAAGGGCTGCAATGTTATAGTGGATATTCTTGGTTGTTTTGAGCACTTCAGCATCAATCTACCAACTCAGAAGTTCTTATGTGAAATGTTACAATCTCACCCAGCGAGGCATAAGAAGACCAAGTGGATGTTTTTTCACTTTTCAGGATTGTTGTCATTGAGTTATTCTAGCGGGCTTGATTTTTTAGTAAAGGACTGTTTATTTGCACTGCTGGTAGTGTTAAATTTGTTTATTATTGAAGAGGGGGATCTCACTGCAGTAGGTTCAGTATTTGGTTCCAGGTTGGAATTCATTTCATCTAAATCCACTGATAAATTTGGAGAGGTAAGTTTGGTTTCTTACTTTACTGGCCTTCTCAGTTTTATTTTTAATGTGTTTCCAACCCATTAACATTTTCCAATAATGATGCAGGTCATGGCAGTCTCAAAATCTGGCCAAATAGTTTCATCAAAAACTCGAAAGATTCAGGAGATGTGCTTGAGGTAATGGCCTCGCCTCCTTATTAATTTCGACTTTACTGGATATCTTCAGCTTCATTGATAGATTTTCACTTTAAGATACTAGTTTGTAGCCCCTTTTTCACAACTTTTTTGTTTTCTTATGGTTATTTACTTTGTTGTTATAAATTTCCTCCTGTTTTTGTGTAGACTGCATCTGTAAAGAGAAATAATACCTTAACATCACCTATTTTTCCCTGGCTTTTATTGTTGTATTCAGAACACGCTCCATTGTATGTTCCAACGACAGAAAACAACACAACCAAGTAGGAACTTCAGAACATGCCTCCATCATGAATGAGGTGGATTCTGCTGTCAGCACAGAAGATGCTAAGGAAACCTGCAATGGTGAGATCTTCCTGAAGTGCGTACTAGGGAAGTATGCAAAATCTGATGATATGGATGATTTATCAGACTTCATTGAGTGCGAGCAGGGAAAGAATTACTCTGGCTGGTTGAGGGATCGACAAAGATTTAGAATATGGAAGTACAAGAAAACGATAATTCGAAGGTGGAAGAAAAAGAAAATGTCTTGGAATCATCTAAAAGGGTTGTAAATCAAGATGTTGTAAGCTTTTGTTATTTACCAGTGCATAAATGTAATAGAGTGGACTATGATCTGTAAAGGTTGTAAATTGGTCATGAATCTCTATATGAATTTACAGAAACAGTTGAATATATTCCATTTAAATGTTTGTGTATTGTAGTTTCCTGTGTTTGTTGTCTGCTTGTTGTTCAGAGGCTGAGTACACTTAGGATGCAGATGCAGGATCTTACCGGCATAGTTAAGTGCTTTCTTCACTTCAATTTTAACTTAAATATTACGTTTAATTGTTGTATTGTGAGTTAAACTAGTGAAATCGTCTTGCCTTCTTTTTTAAGCAACTAAGAAGATGAAGAAAGAAGAGGTGGGCTCTTATATTAGTGAAGTTTCTTGCAAAGCTGCTACTGTCTTCTTGATTTGATTCTTGAATTTTATCTGTCATCAAATGGACCTACAGTTGGTGCAAAAGGGTCTTCTTGATTATACCAGAAGAAAGAGAGGTGGGCTCTTTTATTAGCAGCAATTGGTTTCTCTACTTATACTGCCTATAAAATTTATCACTTTCCTTAAGTAGCTGAAAAAAGAAAGAGAAATTCTAAAATTTTTGGAGCTCTAATTGCTATGCAGAGTTATCTCTAATTCTGCTAAAACTGAAATTATCTCTAATTCTACTGAAACTGTTGGGATTGTTTCTAAGGATTTAAAGATTTTGTTCAAATTCGAATCAGACCAAATTCCCAATTGTTTGAAGCAAATTTCTAAAGTAGCAAGGTCAAATGAGTTTTTTGATGCACTAGTTACCCTTACACAAGCTTTAACTGGGGGAATTTTGCATGGTTATCGAACCAATGTTGGAATTCATCATGATTTTAGTGCCAATGGAAATGCAGGTCCAAGTTTCTTGCATAAGATTTTTGACAAGCTTCCTTATCCACCTGGGTCTGGTTTTGTTTCTATTGTTGTTGGAAGCTTTGCTAGGAACTTGGTTGTGGGCTTTCATGAAGTGGTCTGAACTCAAATTCAGATTTGACTGTCAGTGGTGGCGGTGGTCATGATTTTTTTCACAAATTGGTGAATGCGGTTTGTGGTGATTAGTGTAAAGATCTTTTTTCTTATTTTTTTACAATCGGGGATGGAATCACGACAATTTATTAATAAAAAACATGGAAAAATACAAAGAGGGATAAATCGGCTTGATCGAATAGATTGGGAGGGTAAGAAAACCTAAACCTCAAAACAATATCGAGTTATCTCTAGCTATAGGGACCTATAACGGATCTACATACTATTTGAGCACGAGTTAACACAACTTAAATATAATAATACAAAAAGCGTCGACTATTATGTTTGTTCATATCAACCAAGAGAAATGGCATGATTACCCAACCTTATATGAATGACTAATTTGACCAAAAGTTACATAATCTCGTTTTGTCATCCAAAAAGAGCATATCGATAAAAATAGAGGAGCTTATTAGTCGAATAAACCACCTTGTATGAGTAATGTCGAAAGGCTCAATCGACAAGTCTATCCGCAACCATATTGCCTTCTCCGAAGGTGTGTTGGATTACAATTTTAGAACTAATCCTCATCCAACATGATCCAAGAATGTAATAGAGATGCCAAGGGCAAGACAATGATCGAGAGAGGCAACCAAGTACTAAAGAGAAATTAGCTTTCGCAATATCAAACTATAAGTTACGTTCAATGCCTAATCAAATACCCTCTAATAAGGCTAGAGTTTCCCCCTTTGAGTTAATCCCTAGACCATAGAAGCCGGAAAAAAGCCATGATCAATTTACCTATATCATCACGCAAAATGCCACCCCCACTACGGATATTATTCTACGATGCTTTGTCCGTGTTCAACTTCACTTTTTCGAAGGAGGAAAGATTCACTTAATCCACCTCCCCACCGTGGGAGCAACGGGTTTCATCTAAACTCCTAATGCCCGTAACCATAGGGCATCATGAAAGGAAATGTTCCTCTTTGGAGTAAAAAATTGTGTCAACTCACTCAACTAATTTAATACTTTATGTTTGATATTAATCCATTTCATACTCTCATTCTCAAACAACAATTTATTTCTAACCAACCATAATTCCCATAAAACATAGTTAAACACAATCATGTATGAAAAGTGTTTTTTAAAGTAAATGGTACCTTACGAAGCCAAGTCGTGACTAATAAGAGATTTTTGGTACTCGAATCAACATCAAGAACGCCACCAAAATAGTTCCAAAGTTCGGGTAGAAATATTCTCATGTAGAAATTCAAACCTAACCTATTTATTAAAAAAATTAAAAATTAAAAAAATGAATTTAAAATCACATGACAATTCATTTTTTTTGTCAAATTTATTTTCTTTTATTTTCTTTTTTTGATAAAATGTAAGTATATTTCTCAAAGAGAAAAGAGTTGGAGAACCAGCTAAAGTTACATATACAAGATATACAAGTTGATGGGAACATGCTCCCATGGAAACTAAGCAAAAGAGCTAGAACTAGAAAGTTGTTCAAGGAATCTAGCAATTATAGATTCCAAGAAAAACCCATAAGTAAACTCGTGCTAGCTATCCGGAACCATATACAAGGCTCAACAACTTACAAAAATCTTACCGACAAGACCAAAAGAAAATAAATTACAAAATAAAAGTGACTACCGACCAATTTGAAAGAGAGTGTGGTCCTTATCATGGAAATGAAAGACTATGAAGAAGAGGACTTGAAACTTTCCGAAGAGACGAGCAATGGTTGAGAGAGAGCTATCAAAAAACCTCTTATCGAGCTCCTCCCAAATCGGATAAATGGTGATGGCCAACGAAACCCATAGCATTTGGGCTTCCGGATTATTACATCGAATTAAGAGACCCCGAATGGCACTAGCAAGGGTGGACATGCTACGATTAATTCGAGCCGGATCCGAATCCGACCCCATAGGTTGGTTGTCCATGGACACACAAAAACGAGATGGGAATGGCATTCGGGAGCTAGGCGACGGAAGCGAGCGGGAGCTATCGTTCGGGACGAAACGGAGACGGTCAACGGTTTTTAACTTGCCATGAACCGTTAACCGGAGAACAAATGAGTGCCACGGTAGAGTCTATAGTTCCCAAACAACTCGGTTCCAATTTACCAAGGCCCCGTCGAGCGTAAAGCATTATAAACGTTGCGAACAAATTTCCCTCGGCCTCGATCTTTCAAGCAACCGATGGATCGAACACTATCCCCAAAAGCCTCTATGAGCATGCCTCGATCGAAAGAATACCCTTCCACAAGGGTAAGGTCGTCCGATGCACTTGGGTGTCCCGGATCGAAGAGTGCTTCAAGTAGAAATGGTGAACCCATTGGATCCGGATCGAGTCCGTTTTACGATGGATGTCCCAAAGTCGCCTAGCGAGAAAGCATTGATTGAGCATTTTGAGATCCCAAACTGCCAAACCCTTTTCGATTTTGGATAACTCAGGCACCTTCCAAGATACCATAGCTGAATGACATTTTCGAATATCCCCAGTCCATAAGAAATTCCGACAGTGCTTGGTGAGACAGAAATGACCGTAAACGGAATGGGGAAGATGGCTAACCAAAGCCGTATAATGCCTGCGAGAACCGACTCGAAAAGCTCAAGACGGCCGGCATACGAGAAATTCTTACCCAACCAAGCTTGCACTGCCGACTCTAGGCTCTAAAACAACGGGGAGAATTGGCTAGCAAGAAGGCGATACGGGCTGAGCGAAACCCCAAGATATCGAAAAGGGAAGTTGCCTTTGATAAACCCGGTATCTTGGAGTAAAGTTTGCTTAAGGTCGGCGCCGATTCCCTTAAAATAAATAGAGGATTTGGAGACATTAATAGTCGGCCCGGAGGTTTGACCAAACCGACTCGACTGGGACGATAAGCACCGTACGGAGGCTCTATCCCCTCGACAAAGGAGCATGATATCATCCGCAAACGCAACATGACCGATTCGAAGAGGCCCACACTAAAGGTGATATCGAAAATCTACCATTGCGGTAGAAAGCTTGAGCATGCGAAAGAAATACTCCATGCACATAATAAAAAGGTAAGGAGAGAGAGGATCACTTTGTCGAATACCACTTTGGCCTTTGAAGAAGCCAAAGATTTTACCATTGACCGAAACCGAATAAAAGGGGTCTCCACACAAGTCATAATCAAGTGGACAAAAGCACTAGGAAAGCCAATGTTGCGGAGGAGATCTTGCAAAAATGACCACCGCACCGAGTCGAAGGCTTTTTTGAAGTCCACTTTGAGAAGGCGACGCGACGAGGAACGCTTACGATCATACTATCGGAGGAGCTCCCGAAGAAGATGGATATTATTCGACATCCGCTTACCACCTAAGAATGCATTTTGCATAGGGTTGATAATATCAACCAAAGCATTGGCTAACCAAGAGGAGAGAATCTTCGAAATAACTTTATACATCACATTACGAGTACGATATCGATCGATAATCCGTCGACGATGATGCATTAGCCGATTTAGGGATCAAAACAATCACCGAGTGGTTGACTTGCTTGAGGAGCCGACCCGAGCTAAAGAAATTCTTCACCGCGTCACAAAAGTCCTTCCCCACTACACCCCAAGCTTGTTTAAAGAACAGCGAATACTAGCCATCCGGACCAAGAGCTTTATTGTTCTCAATCCCAAATAACGTGACCCCGATAGTCTCATAAAAAACCAAGGTGAGGAGCATGTCATGCACTCTAGCCGCTAAGCATGGCCCTTGGAAGATTACGGTAGCCTCAATAAGATTGATAGCTTTAGTCGTGCCCGACAAAGATTTGAAGTAGTCAACAAAAAGCCCCTCACAACGGCTAGTGAAGTAGTAGGCTACCCATTTATGTCCGTAAGAGTTGCTATAAAGTTCTTCTTGTGACTCGACTCGTGAGAGTGTGAAAAAATCGGTTGCCCTTGTCACTCTCTTCTAAGTATTGGCACTTAAGCTTCGATCGAAGAACATTTTCTCGACGGACTTAAGATTAACCAATTCCGGGCACAATCGACGATCCCGATCCGGGAGGTCATGGTTATCGCGATCATTCGAAGGGTCCGTTAAAGATTCTCAGGGCCTCGAAGGCTCGGCCAATCCTCTTCGAAATATGACTAAAGTAGAGTTGATTAAGTGACTTTAATAGGCCTTTGAGAGCCTTGAGCTTATGACACGAGCGCAAACATAGGATTGCTCGAAGCTTTACGGCCGCTAGTGCTAATCCACCGAGTGAAAGAAAATGAGCATGATGAGCCCACATGTTAAAGAACTAAAAATGCTACTGGCCAACAGGAGTCCGGTCGTTAAGGTAGACCCATGCTTGAGCATGATTGGAGAAACTACCGGGAGGGTCGAAACGGACCGAGGCCGAAAGATGAAGCGTGGACCATAGCGAATTCGCAAGGACTTGATCGATCTTGATCCAAATAGTATCACCTGTTTCGAGTAAAATGGCTCCCCAAATATGGTAGATCGGTGACACCCGGATCTAGGCAACAAGATTGAAAATTCGTTACCGTATAAGAAGCCCCCGCAGCGTCGCTATGCTTGTCGACCTATGAGAGAATGAAATTAAAGTCGCCGAGCACAAGCCACGGACAACGGGGAGACCAAGAATGCGAGTCCGCTCATAACTCTCAACGCCGAATAATCATGTTGTGACCATACACGAAGGTAGCTTGAAAAACCCTTTGATGGACGAGACTGCGAATGCTAACATTGAGAGCTTGTGGAGTAGCGACAAGGAGATCTACTTTCACGGTATCAAGATTCCATAAGAGGACAATACGAGTCTTGGTGTCCTCCGAACCATTGGAGGCAATCCGCCACTTTCGAAACCAAAAACGATGCATTTGAGAAATCTTGGCGATACCGAGCTTGGTCTCTACCAAAGCACAAACATCAATCTTTTTCTATCGCACGAGGCCTACAACCTCATGTTGCTTGAGGGGATTATTAAGACCCCTCACATTCCGGATGAGAATAATCATGTGGCAGC